AATTCAGCAGTTGCTTTGCAATTAACAAATCGATGTGTGGAATCTGACATTGATAAGAACATTAGTGCATTGTATACGCTTGCACTTAATGTTTGGCTTGCCAATTTTACATTCATTCTATTATTTTGAAAATTAATATGTTTATTCGTGAGTTTATTTGCAATGTTTAAACCTTCTTTTTGTTGTAATTCATGCAGGTTTACTATATGACTCCATTCAATTATGTCACCACTAGATGTTTGTAAAATTTTTTTGTCACCCAAAGTATTTCTTACTAATTTTATCATATGACAAAATTCAAAGAACACATAACATTTCTCCGATGTAACTGGATTTATAAAATATGGCTTAAAACTATTTTCATATGTAAAATTTGCACCCAGAGCAGTGCACATACTAATATTACTTGGAGCACCATCAAAAGTAATGGAAAAAATTTTACAGTTTATTTGATGTAATTGCTGAAATGCATATATTAAGAGATTCGACCGTTCTGTGCCATTTAATGTTCTAATTAAAAAATATCCTATTGGGACTTTCCAATTATCATTTAACCCCTTGGGTACATTTGACGTCTGAAACACGTCATTCACTTTTTTCCCCTAGGAGCGGATAACGTGTTTAAGACGTCAAACCAAAAATTAAACTCTTGGGTACATTTGACGTCTGAGAGACGTCATTCACTTGTTTTCCCTAGGAGCGGATGATGTGTCTAAAACGATATTTGAGGTTAGGCACAATTCTGTTCATTTCATTGTAGCTTGTATCAGTCATAATAGAAGAGGCAATTACAGTATTTCGGTGAACATTATTTGCGATACACTGCCCCATTATGTCAAAAACAAGGAATATATTTTATGATAGTGATAGCGAAAGTGACTTTGAGAAATCTGAAGAAGAATTGTTTAGTGATCCTGAAATTGACAATTACAATGAAATACAAAGCGAAGGTGATGAAGACGATATTGAAATAGAAAATGATGACAATTTTAATATAATATCAAGGTTTCGAAGACGCACAAGACGTCTATCGAGCAGTGATAGTGAATCTTCTCGTGAACCAGAAAATGATGACAATTGTAATATAAAACCGTTCCACATGCAAATATTTTCTCAAATAAATCCGTACCCAAGGGGTTAACGATACTGCCGATAAATACTAAAGCATTTTTTGCTGTAGGAATAGAGTCATTATCGTAATCTTCATTTTCCAAAGTGCCAAAATCGATACCGCCATAAAATCGTTTTTTATCAAAAATAATTTGTTCCCTTAGTGCCATTTCATCTATAACTAGGTTAATAATAAGAGGTTTAGAATTATTACTACGCTTTAAAATGGCATCTAATGCTTCTTTTGTAAAACCTGGAGATCCATCGACTACACGATACCAATTTCGCAATGTGGAAGGACCTGGTAGTAAATTGTTCCATATTTTTCTTACATATGTATATGCTTTAGGAGAATAGAAGTGAAGTGTTAGTGCAAAACTACGAATTTCAGGAGAATAACTACCGTATGTTTTCAACTTTCGCGACATTATCGCTTTCACATTCTCTGGTAACATATTCTAAATGAAACATAAAATACAAATATTTCCTTTTAAATAAAGTTATTGTACATAATATATATCTATCTTCATTACTGTATGAAAAATGTCGCAATATATTATATAATATTCCATAATTTGTGTATATACAACTGTGTATGACACACTACGAGCAATATTACTATTTATGAACATACCATGAAATTGTCTGCAGCATCTTCAGAGAGTAATTTCGATTCTTTTAAGTGTGCTACTAATTCTTGCAATGAAACAATTTGCTTTTTCAATCTTCTATTTTTTTGTTGTAAAGACTTCATTTCTTTGCATTTCTTTTCATATTCCTATTTTATAAACGTGATAACCTTTTTAGCTTTTTCTTCTGTATTTACATCAGTAACAGTAATTTCCGAGATATATCGAGGCTCTGCGAATAAGCGTTTCTTTGGAAGAGTGACAGTACTTTTTTCAGAATCTAAAAATAGATAGTATTTATTATAACAAAAGTGGTATTTATATATATATATAAATTATTTCTTATTGTAATATGTATAAGTATTTTATATTATTTCTATATATATATTTCATATTTAACTTACATAAATAAGAAGTAGAAGTTTCCAATATTGATTGCATTTTACATATACCTGAATCTATTACTGCGGGATCCATTGTTGCAGCACTCGATGCAGAATTTATTGTTGTAGAATATGTTGTTGCAACATCTGTCGTAGCACTCATTGTTGCTGAATCTATTGTGGCATCCGTCGTTGCAGCATCCATTATTTTTGTATATACCTTTGAATCTATTTCTGTTTGAAATATCGCAGGTTCCTTAGATATATTTTCTCCTGCTGATATAAATATTTTACTTATTGAATGATATTGTATAGTTCTTTTTGCAATAGCTGCAACATTTACTAGTAATACCTGCATTGGGTACACCTTCAAGAGGTAGTCTCCATTTTTTCTGTCTAATTACATTTTGCGGCAATCTGAAATGAGTTGAGCAAATGTACAAATGGGATACATCATCTGTGTCATGTAAATGGCATGCTTCCTTTCATTTTTTACGTATGTCTTGTTTATTAGGAAATCTGAAAAATATAATTTATATAATTTGTTATTAATTATTGTAAGTCATATATATTTTAACTCATTATTTGTCAATATAATTACTTATGTAAAGAAATATTTTCCCCGCGAACTAGTTTAGCGAATAGTTTAGATATATGCTATAACAATATGATGATGATATATTACATCAGTGAAGTAATATATCTCATTTTGTAAATGGTATTGTACGCGATCCGCTCCGACGCTTCATACATCTTTATTTATTTATGATACATTTCTCACAGCCTCACTGCAAAATCTGGCTCTGTAGGTTTCTCGGGGATAGTTAAAAAAAGATACTATAACAATTTGGCGGTGAAAACATATCATCAAGGAGGTGAAATTTTGCATCTTCTATAATGATTTTTCAACTGATTCGCTCCAACGCCTGGTACGACGGGCGCTTTATTTATATATTATACATTTTTGACGACCGAATTGCAAAATTCGGCTTTGTACCGATCTCGGGTATAGTACGAAGAAGATGCTGTAACAATTTGGTAATAACACGTATCGTCAAAGAGACGAAATATTGCATCTCGTAAAATGTTTCGAGTGACTCTCAGCGACGCTTGGTACAGCGAACGCTTTATTAATGTATGATAAGTTTTTGACGGATTGCAAAATTTTGCCGGACTGCAAAATCTGGCTTTGTAGGGTTCTCGGGGATAGTTCAAGGAAAATACCATAATAATTTGGCAATTATATATATTGTCAACGAGGCAATATATCTGTTCTTGTAAAATTATATTCCGCCTGACTCGCTGCGATTTGGTACAGCTGACGTTTTATTTATGTATAATAAATTGTTGATAGCCTATTTGTAAAATCTAACTCTGTACAGATCTCGGAAATAGTTGTAGGAAGATGCTATAACAAGTTCATGGTCATATATTACGTCAATAAGGCAAAATATTGCTTCTTGTAAAATGGTATTCCACCTGATTCGCTGCAACTCCTGGTACGGCTGATACTTTATTTATATATTATAAATTTTGGACGGCCGGATTGTAAAATCTGGCTGTATAAGGTCCTCAGGGATAGTTCAAGGAAGATGCTGTAACAGTTTAGCAATTATACGTATCGTCAACGAGGCGAAATTTTGCATCTTGTAAAATAATTTTTGGAGTGATTCGCTGCGATGCTTGGTACGGCGGACGCTTCATTTATTTTTCATAAATTTTAGACAGCCGGATTGCAAAATCTGGCTTTGTGGATCTCGGGATGTGGGATCTCGGGAATAACATAAGGAACATGCTATAATAATTTGGCGGTGATATATAACGTCAGCTAGACAAAATACGTCAATTTGTAAAATGGTATTGCACGTGAGTCGCTGCGACACTTAGCTCACTCACCCAAAAGCCTGAAAAGCATTTTCTCGCCGTGTATCGGCCGGCGAAATGCCTGAGTGAGTAAGACAAGGACGGTGCGATCGATTGTTCGTCCTTGTCAAACTGACTTGACCCAACCTTCCTGCTCTTGCGCTCGCGCGCACGGTGTTGGTTCGCGATCTCGCCGCACGAGGCCTCCAAAGTCAACGCTGGATTTGTCTCTGGCTCCTGTAGACCCTAAAGCCCGTATCAGACTACGGATTGGGATTGAGTATTGGATTGAAATTTAACCAATCAGGAGTAAGTTTACTATACTTGAGATTATTTTCTCTTTTTCAATTGGTCAAATTTCAATCTAATCTCAATCCCAATCCATAGTCTGATACGGGCTTTAACCCCTTGTCCTATAACAACGAGTGAGACTCGTGGTAAGATATTTGGGCCAAAAACAATTAGCACGAACCTGACTCATGGTACTTCATTCGGGACAAACATAAACAACATGAGTCAGACTCATGGTTCAGTTGTTCTAGATATTTTCTTACTTTAGTTACGTGTAATTCTTCGTTACGTTCACACGTTTAGGTTATAATTCCCTAAAAGAATTAAACAACCCTTATATCTATCATGTCAGTAAAAAGAAAATCTAATATCGATGATAATTCCTTTCGTTGCGTCGAAATATACATGTCATAAGACGCATACATTTTGCACAAGTTCGAGCACACGGCTAAACAGCTAAATGGCTTGACGCGTGACCGACCTTCTTGTTTATTGTGGCCCGAGCGATCGGAAGCGGATAGGACAAGAGGTTAAAACTAAGATAATTTGGTGCAACTGGGTCTAAGTCTATTAAACCAAACGAATCTAGACATCGCATGTTCTATGCTTGTACAGGACGTAACATTTTTCTGCCAAAATGTGAATCTGCCTTTAGGACTTTGTGACTCTATTGTAGGACCTCACTTTAATATGAACGTGGCTGTGAACGTGGCAGTGGTGCCCTCGGGTGGCCACTTCCGTCGTCGCGGTCGGCCATGTCGATTCTTGCAGTGATCACAGATGGACGCGTGAAAGTCAACAACCGGTATTACGACAGTGATCGCGTTGCTTGAAATATTGTATCATTGCAGGACGGTTTTACGATTAAGGTTTATTATTAAGATTGCATGTATCATCGCGAGATATATGAGTTTCGCCTCGAGCTGATCGCCCATATCGTCTTACTGTTTTTTATATGTGTTACGTTTTCTTTCTGTTGTCGGCGGAACAGCAATAGTAGCAGTGGCAGCAGCAACAGCGACAACAGCAGCAGCTTCCGTAACTTGCACCTTGTCTCCCTTTGAGTGCGTCGTGATATTGTTGCCTCTTTTCTACATAACTGTAGTGATCTAATTGCTTCGATATCTGCCGATTGCCGGAACATCGGATAAACGAAGATGAGTGCGAACAACATGCAGGCGTTGTTTGCATGTTCCAGGTGTTTTTCCAGGCATCCTTTTGAGGATTTATCACCAGGACAACAGTTGTGCAAGGTACGTACCGGCTAACTCGTTGCTCTGTTCGTTCGTGCATGGCTAGTTTGCAATACCGTCGCTTTCCAATGACGCATCTTTCATGCGATTCTACGTTCTATCGTGATTGTCGTGACGATACAAACGATTTCTCTCGGGCGAAATGATGATTAAAACCGTTGCGAATTAGAATAGGACTGAATGCAGCGAGGATTTATTATGAGTTAGAAGCAGAAAATTTCTTTTGTAAAAATAACAACATGAGATCTTTCGTGAGAATTTGAGAATACGAGTTAAATATTCGACACATCCGTTAAGGAAATTTTTGTATATTATATATCATACATGGTGTGCGCGCGCGCGTGTGTGTGGTGTGTGTGCGTGCGTGTGCGCGTGTGCGCGCGCGCGCGCGCACACACACACACACACACACACACACACACACATGATACATAATACACACATACACACATGTATACATATGTATATATACACACAGAATACACATGTATACATGTATATATATATATATATACACACAGAGACATAATAATGAATGCATTTAATTATTAAAACTGCTCACTAAATATTCATTGTTTGGTTGTAATATATTTATAAATATAGTTATTATATAATATACAGTATTGTACTGCAATAAAGAAACATTGTATTTTTCAATTTGCGGTAATATTTAGAATGTAATTCACAATTTGTTTAATATTGTAATATTATAAATACTTTGAAGTACTTTTGTATAGATGAGGTTGATATAATGTCATTATATATTTAATATACTTTGGAACATCTAACAGACTCAATGTTTAAATATTGAAGTAACTAAAATAAAGCTAATGCTAAAATAATGATCAAATTAAATGCTGAAACCTAACTTGTGTTTACATAGGAATGTAGAGGAGCATTTCCTGTAGTCAAATGCACATATTGCAGATCAGAATTCCAACAGACTATGTAAGTTATTAATTATCAGAAGCTGTTTTGTTTTTTTCTTATTAAAAATTATTTTTATAAACTGGACAAAGTTATATTATTTCAATTTACTTGATTTTACAGAAAAGGTAACACAAGCACTATATGTAAGAAGTGTGAACAGAATGTAAAGTCTTATGGGAAGCCATCAGCTTGCGAGTATTGCAATACCATTGCTGCATTCATCGGCAGTAAGTGCCAAAGATGTACAAACTCGGAGAAACGTTATGGTCCACCAGTCACATGTGAGCAGTGCAAGCAGAAGTGTGCCTTTGATAGACAGGACGAGGATAAGAAGGTAATACCTGAGAACTTTAAATATTCTCTTTTGAATATTATAAACATATACATATGTCTGACAAATATAAATAGTATGGACTGTGGACACATATATGTCTGATAAATATTTTCAATTTATAATTTTGATACAAGCAATAGTTGTATGAACTGTTGCGCTGGGCACTTGCATCCATGTTTTATATATTTTAGCAATGATAATAAAAAAATTAAGATTTTGTCTCAGTTTATTGCTTTCAAATTTTCAAAAAGTTATTTCTTTGGTTGATTCATGACAGCTCAAAATGTTCTATCTTTAACATGTAGCTCTGAAATGCTTCACATTCAGAAGATTAAAGCAGATACTTCTGATTGTATATGATACAATTGTTAATAAATAAAATCCTATGTGGATATGTTATTGTCATCGGAAATTGTTACACATGCATATTGATATTTTTATATTCTATACAGAATATTACAGCTGGTATATACATTTTTTTTTCAATTTTGTCAAGTTTTCTAATAATGCAGGAGATTTTCAGTGGAGTTTATTTTGCGTGAAGAATCTTTTAATTATGTGCATCATGTCTAAATGTTCGTGCATCATGATTGTTGATTGTTTAAATGAATAATAATAATAACTTATATATTGCTAATTTTATAACTTGACATTGCTTTACATTGTAAATGTTGTTCTATCTGGATAATATTCTAATGTGTTCTAATATCTAAATGTTGTTGTTTCCTCGAATATGTAGACACAATACATATAATTGAAAGATTGTAGTGGTCCTAGGTTTAGTCCAGGCTATTATCCGCCTGTGTGTATCACAATCGCTGTTGAATCGCTCACAATGACATTTTGAGTTTCAGGTGGATGGAAAATTATTATGTTGGCTTTGTACATTGTCGTATAAACGAGCGTTGGCGAAGACAAAACAATCTGACGCGGAGAGAAGAGCGCACATGAAACTGGCTCAACAGCGGGCCGCAAAGCACAAAGAACAAAAGTAATTATCCAAATTCGTAAGGCGGAAAGGTAACTTGAGCGCTTTCATGTAGTCGTATACATAATTTCGAGAAACATGTTCAGTGCGACTGCTTGGTGACTTGCTAGATTTATTCTGTATAGTTATACTTTCTAAACTATTTTGTAGAAACAAAAAATAACCGGCAAGAATACAGGCAGGTAAAAACCACATGTTGTGGTTTTATAATGGATTTTTATAATTTTAATTGTTAATATAAATGTCTAAATTTCGTTACGATGTTTCACTTTTTACTTGGATATCATATATCATATATTGGTCGAAATGTGATCTTAGAGATTTAATCATTCTTATTGACAATTAAAACTATACAATTTCGCTGTAAGGTCAGCGTTTGGCTCTCGTATGCATTTTCATCGGTTATTTTTTCGGCACTAATTATTTTCGATTGGATATCACGAGAACCTTTATTTAATTGTAATTTATTTCTTTTTTCTCTTATCAAGTGTCAAATATGTATCTATTTTAAGTGCCGAAAACAAAGCTTAGTGCAGCTATAAAGAACAGACTTGTATGTAGGCACACTCTTTAGGCCACCGTCTTGGTCAAATTCTCGTTTATATCTCCGTACTGCTCGTTGCAGATTGAAAGGTCACAATAAAAGACCGCACAGGGTCGACGTAACGAAGCTGCCGCCGCAATCTGAGGGCGGCGATACGAACGGTCCCAGTCCAATGAAAGCGGCGCGAATGGCCGGCGTGCACGATCCGCACGATCCAAACAGTTCGGATCACGTGGTGGCGGTCACCCAACTCAAGGAAAAGATTGCGCATCTACAAAAACAGATCACCATCAAGGATGGCCAGTTATTGGCTAAGGATAGACAAGTGTGTGACATATCCTTAAAATCTCACAACGATACTGTGAAATAAGACTGATAATGTAATCATTTCTCAATTATAGATTACCGAGCTGAAGGCGAAGAACTTCACATCCGAAACGGAGTTGCGCAATAAGATGAAGGCATCAGAGAAGGAATATGAGACGAAAAATTTCGAACATGCAGCACAAGATTTTCAAGTCTACTGAAGGAGGTGGCGTCGTTGTCGAAGACGTCCAAGCGAGGTGACCGGGTGGCTGCTACCAAGACGGAAGCTGGGACCAATAGCGGTAGCGGGACAGACAGTCCTGTACCTTGATAAGGTAGGAGACGCTCTTCTCTTTCTTCGCCGTTCCTCACGGTATCAGCGCGAACGCTTTGAAAGTGTTTCAAACGCTACGATACATTTATAAAGACACATTTGAGGAAATAATAGGCCACGCGAGCGTCACCCGCATGTATCACAAGCCACGGTGCGCAGATGTGTGAGGAGCCTTCTCTCTGCGATTATTCACAGGCACTTGATTAGCCGTGACAACGTACTCGAATTGTCCGCAAGCTATATGAACCACGTGGTACATATTACAAATATAGACAATTGTTTCCATTTACGAGACAAAATTATATTATTTTTCTAATTATTGCATAGCTGTATATTATTACCGATGTGCACTGAAAGAGAAGAAACCGGTGTTGCTTGTGTCTCCGTTTAGGGGGGACCGACCAACGATATAAAAATACAAGATTTATATACATAAGTTGTGTAATATTCACCGCCGATTTCTTTCTCTCGGGTGATTGCTTGCAACCAAGCGCCGATAACGCGCGACGATTCGTCCGCCATTGCAACGGCCGATCTGCACGACAACGCATATGTTATTAGTTAGTGAAAAATTCCGCGTTGTAGCGGATCGTGCGGTTCATTTGTGTCTTCTCTGCGACATGCGAGATCTCGGAGAACGCGCAGTCCCTATACGGGACAAACTCCAATTGATGAATTGTACATGCATTGTGGATAGGACAGCGCTGACTGACGGCAACGCGGTGCCAGTGTTACCGTGGCATTTTACTATTTATAATGACGATATACGCGATGATGAGCCAAAATATGGTTGTAGATCAATTTATAATAAAAAGTTCAAAATTAGCAGTTTCGTTCCCTTTGTCATTTCTCCTCTCTCTCTTTCTTCTTTTAAGCCTGCGTCGTCCGTCTTTCTTCTCACGAATATTAGAATCATTATCGGAAGAAAAGTTAGTGTCTGCGTTTAGCAGAAATCAGCATTTAATAATTATTGTCTCTGACTGGTACGTGAGGTATAGATTATTTTGTGTTCATTATTTATGTATCATTTTTCGTATACGAAAGATTTCATACATAAATTGGACAATTTATGTAATTTATATAATTTATGAAAATTTAACAATTTTTTCTAAAGATATATCAATGGATGATAAATCACTGATATAATCTTTCAACGATATCTAATATTGTATATAACGTTTTAATAGTTTTAGTAGTTTTTAATGTTGTGTCGACACGTTATGTCGACAATAACATCAATACTTCGGTACTTTTTAAATATTTTTACCGTAATATCTTTGAAAAATATTAAGGAAAAACGTTTAAAAGTTTATTCTAAACTTATTCTGCACATGAAATAAATATTGCAATATGTTGATTTAATGTTCTTTGCTTATTGAGGAAATATCAGGTGTAGTAAAAAGAAATCCATTATTTTCCAATAGATGGCTTTAGTTATCTGTATCTCGCGTTGTATAAGTCCGATCGGGTTCCACTAGATGGCGTTAGAAAGATGAGATTTCGTACTAAAAAAACTTTTCTGACAGTTTTGTGATTAGTTGACTCAGTTTTGTTTGAGCGCCGTCGAAAGATGGACACTAGCAAAGAGAAAATACGCTATATTTTACAGTTTTTCTTCGATAAAGGCGAAAACGCAAGCCAGGCGGCTGAAAATGTAAATAGTGTTTATGGTCCTGATACTATAACAGCCAATACGCGCAATTTTGGTTTCGTCGATTCCGTTCCGGTAATTTCGATGTCAAAGATGCACCACGCACTGAGAAGCCAATTGTCGAAAATATCGATAAAATCATGGACATTGTCGAGTCCGACCGTCATGTAAGCACTGTTTCGATTGCCCAAGAGCTAAAGATTGCACAAAAAACCGTTTGGAACCATTTGAATAAGGCTGGATACAAAAAGAAGCTCGATGTATGGTGCCACACGAGTTAACGCAAAAAAACCTCATGGACCGGATTCCATCTGCGAATCACTGCTGAATCGCAACAAAATCGACCCATTTCTGAAGCGGTTGGTCACGATGATGATGAAAGTGGATCACTTACGACAACGTCAAGCGAAACGGTCGTGTCGAATCGCGGTGAGCCGGCGGAACGGTGGCCAAGCCAGGATTGACGACCAGGAAGGTTTTGCTGGTGTGTTTGATGGGATTGGCAGGAATTATCTACTATGAGCTGCTCCCCTACGCAAACTCTTAACTCGAAAATACTGTCAACAATTGGACCGTCTGAAGGAAGCATTGCCCAGAAGCGGCCAAGCTTTGCCAATAGGAGAGAAAATTGTGTTCCATCAGGACAACGCCAGGCCCACCACACCATCGATAGTGACTCGCCAGAAAGCTCCGGGAGCATGGTTGGGGGTTCTTATGCATCCACCTTTATAGTCCGGACCTGGCACCAAGTGATTACCATCTGTTCCTATCCATGGCGAACAATTTTGCTGGTGAAAAATTCGCTTCAAGAGAGGGCTTGTGAAATCGGCTGTCTCAATTTTTGGCAATAGGGACGAGGGCTTCTATGAGAGAGGCATAATGAAATTACCTTCAAAATGGCAACAAGTTATCAAACAAAACGGCGCATATTTGACCTAAATCGGTTCATTCTAACTATGGTAATTAAGCCTTCAATTTCATGCAAAAAATAATAGGATTTCTTTTTTACTACACCTGATAATAGGCCACGCAAGCGTCACCTGCATGTATCACAAGCCACGTG